TCCTGTTGATAATACAGACAAATATGGTTCTGTTAATTTTGAAAATTTAATGTAAAATTATACCAGACCGACCGCTTTGGACCGACGTGGTTTTGGTATCGTTATTTTTGGAATTATTCATTAACATTTTCCTCGTTTCTCTGCTCTGTCGAAAGAAGTTACCTATGCCCTTTTCACGTAACTGTCTCATTAAAATAAAATATTACATTTAGAACAAGCATCGAAAACACGTAACAAGAGGTCCCAGTTAAGTTGCTTTGACCAGGGACATACTAGTACCTCCATGCTTTGACGATTGAGTGTCATGCAACTATTAGATTTGAAAAACCACCATTTCGACTACTCATGTGTGATCAGTGTTTTGGCTAGCAGTCACTGTTTTCAATGAGCGAGCGAAAAAAATGAGCGATTAAAATGCTGTCGGTTTCCGGTCGGACAAGACCGCGTGGTCGAAAATCAAGCAATAAGCTGTGGGTGTAAAAGCGGAAGGCTGGGCGAAATTAGTACCGTAATTACATAAACTTTGTAGTATTGATATGCAAATCAGATTTTTCATCAAGTGTCAATTAGGATTACTTTCATGCGAGTGTTGTGCTTATGTTGGTGGTGTTTATAAACAATCACACGTGGCAATGTTTTGAAATAGAAAAAAACGTCGAAATATGCCTTATAAAATGGAGTTTTTGTTTAGAATAAAAGCACAGTCATAGATACTGTCATAACCATCAATAATTTAAAATACAAAAAAATCTTGAAAAAAACACATTAAACGTATGCTAACCCCTTAAGACAAGTTGCTTATAAGTCTTGAAATGGATGCAGACACAGCTTTTTAAGAAACAATGAAATCTTTTGAAATTTGGTGCTATACGTACAATAACGTAGAATATCATACTTTATCATGCAGCAATTTGGGGTGATGATATGTACAATTTGTTTTCATAAATAAATTGTTTAGTTTCATTGGAGTAAATTTTCTCTGATTTTACTCTGGAAATAAATTCAAGACAAAGTATTCTACAGTAGCATAAAAGGATTAAAAAGTGCAGAGCCATACAATATACTATTGTATGTGTTCAATTGATAATGAAGGCATTTAAGTAATATGTAATTTACCATTCAATGCGAGATCTCGCCCGATGTGTGAAAGGCGCTTTATTATTTGATTTTGAACTTTTTCTATATAGTTCAATGTCAAAACTCCCAACTTTCAGAAAGAAGTATGGTGTGTTGTTGACACCACTATGACCTTTGTTTGCCTACTTTTGTATGTTCAATTTCATGCAGAACACAGGATTTAATGTGAACGGAAATTAGTATTGACAAATTGTTATGTATGGTCAAAATAAGACGTATTTTAATGATTCAGCATCCATGAATGCAATTTTTCGTTTATATTTACTTTTTTTTTCAAAGATTGTAATTGAATAAATGCCATAAAATAGTGTTTAAGAAATGTTCAATAAGACAACCAATTTGGGTGTTCAATAGAGTACTAGATAAAACCCCACACATGGTTTATTCTATAAAGGTACTTAACAAAATCGTTTTTTTTTTTTTTTTTAAGCTGTGGTAAACAACTCCCATAAAGCTCTTTATAATAATATGATCAATTAATGTGAACATATTTTGGTGGTGAAAATAAAGCAACAGCAGATACTGAATTAAGAGCACAATGGTTGAATGCTGAGGGGACACCCATAACAGGGTCCTGTGGGTGTAAAGCTCAATCAAGTAGTAATTTTCTGCCGTGTAGTTGGAGTTCATGAGTTGATTATCTGATATTGTGCTAGCACTATTTATAATTTTATGATATAGTGATCAGTCCCACGGTATTAAATTGATGAATATTTGAATGGTTCATTAAGTGATTTATTAGCCCAAGTACTATTTCAGTCTACACACAAGTACTACCCTGTAAAGAACTCAAGTGACTGCGCCAGGCTTTATGTTCTTTTGGAACACTTTTATTGACAAAATCGGTCAAGTCATGTCAAAGATATGGCGCAGGAACAGCACTTGATGAAACAAAATATATACTAGTTGGCCATTTTGAATCTGATGTGGGGAGAAAAAAAGATGTGCATCAAGGACCTATTATGTTCAATGAATATAAGTTTCCATTAGCTCCACTTCTTTCAATGGATCAATAAAAAAAATCTGTGGTTTGATCAAAGATGGTATGGTTGTGACTGGTTAAACTTAGCTCACAAATATTCAAGAGCCAATTCAAAACATCTAATATTCTGTGTGTGCTCACCCCACTTGCAGCCAGCTGGAAATAATATCTGACATAAACTACTAAAAATGTCCTTATGTTCCATTATGCTGTCTAACAGGATGTATATTGGGCAAGAATATTCTTTCAAGTCAACAATCTTCTACGAACTGGACTTGCTTCTAGTGACAGTCTTTCCAACAAAAAACATGATTCCTGCCAATTTTCAATGAAATATTTCATTACCATAGCAACATGACTGGGGTCATTTTCTTAGATGTGGAAACAATTCAGACTATTCTTCAAGCTGTCTGACACAGGTCAATGACACAGGTGACATAGTGACACAGGTTGGAATTCATAATACTAAACATATAGAGGTTGTCAAACTAGCAAATTTGTCTGACTTCTGACATGGTTTCATGGACACAATTGTTTGCAAATGAAATTGATGCTAGTATTTACATAAAATGCTTCCACTAACATGATCCATGTTTTATTTCAACACAGAGAGATAATGCTGCAAGTAGTGGGACAAGCACAGAGTTAAATTAAGTACACTATCGTAAAAACTCGATTAATTCGCGGTCTCTGTTAAATCGCGCACCCATTTTATTTTCGAACGCTAATTTTTAAATGTATCCTTTTAATTCGCGGCGTTCAAAAACATGTTTAAAATTGTATCCTATTAATTCGCGGGCCAGAATAAAGTGGATAACTCAGAATATATTGCATGAAGGCATTAAAAATATACATTTTGTTTGAGTTTTTATGTTACCAGTACTTGGTGTAGCCGCAATCACAGATGATCTCCATCATCACAGCCTTTCAGTTAGCAAGCAGTTTAGGTTCGGTAAAGATTTGACCTGAAAAAAATCATTCCCCCACGACACTACAGATGTTGGGCAAGATTATTACTTAGTCGATAAAAATCCATCAGCCAACACATCGATTACGAATTTCCGTGATGGAAAGCTTAGTACAGGGCTTTTTCGTCGCTGGTCCACAGGGTTGCATCGACCATGTGTCCGCCATTATTCTATTATGTCATTTAAGTGAACCGCCCCATGGTGCGCAAATTGACGTTTTTGATTGGTCGGGCGATTGACCTCGTGTTACATTTTCATATACCAAATTCGGGAAAAAACACAGAGTTAAGCGGTCATGTACGTTCTATAAATCTAACTTTGCACACATAATCTTGTACTGACATATTTTTTGTCCAAGAAAGACGTTCCTTTTCATTTAACCCCCAGTTAACTCTTCGCGTCCATGGTATTTGTGAGAGTTGAAAGATTTTTTGAACAAATGATAAGTAACTATATTGATTTGCGTCAAGCTGGGTGGCCCGAATTTAAATATCAGTCCATGAACTCTGGAGGTCATTGCCCAATGCTGCACGTAATTCAAACGCGTGCTTAAAAAAATAATTATCATGAAAGCAATACATTACGAAGTTGAAATATTCAGAGCCGGTACAATATTGTAAACAAATTTGCGTAATTAGAAAATCAGTGCACTAAGCAAACGGCGTTGATATATTCAAAGCCAGTACAGAGTTGCATACAAGTTGCGTAATTACAGTATCTTCGGATAAAATAACAATTATACTAGATTGACGCGCGGGGCACAAAACAAAAAGGTTGCTAAGGTAACGCGCCAGTTCAGTGCGTGACTTGAGGTCAAACTCCGGTCACCACACACTTGATGTCAGCATCGCCGCGCAGCAAGTTTTGCAAAGAAGTACTTGAAGTTCAATTGCGTCCCAAAATGATGTCGCTATCACTCAGTTGTCGCATCGTGTGTTGTGTCATGTCCATGATGCACCCCGTTTCGACTTTGGCTTGCTTTTCCTTCTTAGTGCATGTTCTTGTTCACGTAAAATGCGACCTCTCACCAATGTATTAAAACACTTTGAATTTACACTTTGCATGATTATATTTGGTCAACGCGAAACATTGTTTTTTCTAAACATTTTCTGAGATCATTTTTTATCAACGCAGGGTTATTTTTCCCGACAAGATGGGCTTCGTAATATCTGCCATAACATCGCCCGGGCGATGCCAATAAAAAAATAAAAAAAAGGCAGCTAGACGGCTACTTTGTAGCCACGTGTTCATTGTTTGTTTGTGTACAGAGTAACCTTTGCCATTTCACTGTTCCATTTCAAGTGTAACATGGTGCGTGGTCCTTGACGCAGTGCGTGTTCTCTGCTCGACTGTACGCCATGAATTTCGCTAGCCACGAGTCTCAGAGGCACTAAAAAAACGTCCTGTAATCATGTTCATTGGAAAACAAAACAAATCACTAATAAATTTATGAAAACAGCTCCCTTTTGAATCGATCTAAAAGTACTCTTTTAATTCGCGCACCAAAAACCAATAATTTCTGTTTTTACGCTATTAATTCGTGCACTTGAAAAAATAATTATTTTTACTACTGCGAATTAATCGAGTTTTTACGGTAATCATGGTATAACAAGCCCTATGATTTGCATAGTGTAGGGTATAAAGTTAATGAAGAGTTAAATATAAAAATTACCTGAAAATGTGGACTGGACACGCATCTGGCTAACTGTTTAAACAACGCTTCTTGAACTTTTACAAATTCTGACGGTTCTATAACATCTAATATTTCTTCCAGCTCATTTAAAAACATAACCTGAAATAAATGGAGGTTGTTATGACTTCATCAGATGTCTGGCACATAGAGATAATAAATCTCCATCCACATTGTTGTTGGGGTGAGTAGTGCATTATATGTGTATAAAGGAAGGGAGGACCTGTAATAAATCAAGAACACAACAAGCATAGCACATAACACAGAGTTTTATCATGACAACCCTCTGACGTAAGAGTTTTGAAATACTAACCATTATTATATTACCCATCTTGGTACTGAGTGTAAGCATGAAATCGAATCTATTTCAGTAACACAATATTTTTATTGTACATGATTCCGTGGCTGAATTTTGTACAGCTATCCACAAAGACTGTGCTTTGACAAGTAGGCATGAATTATGTGGTTTCACTATATTAACATTTGATGTATAGTGCATGGTTGAATTCAGTGTCTGACTCAAACTACATTTCATGTACTTACTTCTTTAGGACTATGGGTCTTAGGCCAGAACTTCAGTAAACCCATTATAACCTACAAGAAAACGAACATAGAAAACTTACAGGCGATGACAGGCATTGACGGCAAGGATTGAAAAGCATGAAATAGATACTGAAATATCTACCCCAAAGACAAATAACGCATTTAGAAGCACATCTACAATATATAAGCACATACAAACCAACAACTACATTTGTGGTATACTGAGTAATTGAATTATTACTTATTTTGACCTTAGAAACCTCTGTAATTTGCATAAGCACATCTAATTAAATAAACTGCAATTCTATGCTAACTGAACATGAAATTTTGTTTTAAATAGATCAAGAGATATTGAATGAAATTCAATTCAATATAAAACTAAATAGACTAATGGTGGTATGAGATTTGGTTAGAAGCGTTCATGAAATGCAATTTGCTTTAATTTGACATTAGACAAATTCCTGTGAATTGTGATCATCAAAAAATATTGTAAATTTTTTGTAGTAGTGAAAATTTTATTTCATTGAGACAGAGAAGTGATAGCGACATCGCGCCCCCATCAAATCAAGTCGACCTAGCTAAGACACGTAAACGACTTAAAAAGGAACCAAACAAGAGTACAATTAAGGTAAGACTGCAGCCAGGATTAATATGCTAATTCGACCCAAGGCAGTCGTATATCATGGCAGGGTGCTCTTGGAAATGTGCCAGTTACGATGTTTAGACTCCTCCTAACACATATCAATGGGGCTATAATAAATGCACTAACGATTCCACTTGTCTGTTTGGATGTTTGACATACACATGTTGTTTACAGTGGTAACATGCCATGATATTAGAAGCAGTTTAAAATGGCGGCTAAGTTTGGGAAAACTGAAGTGATTCCCCAGATGTTTATTCAATCTAAGAAGCTAGTTTACAAACAATAAAATTATTACATAGTACTTCGGAAAGGAAAAATAAATTGTTAGCAATATCAAAGCAATGGGGCTTGTGGTTTTCAAGAAGAAGTTGAAAATGTAAAGTTGACATTGATGTCAAACAATCAGTAATACAAGATAAGCTTCGCTTGACTTGGGCTAATATGCTATACACAGCATACAAATCAGTTATTGGTACAAAAAAATAAATATGATTAGCTTGTCATAATAGTTATTAGTAGACAAAAATAATTTTGCCATGATTGTCGTACAAACCAGTTATTAATACAAGAAAATACAAACTTTATTACTGTTTAAGGTCTATTATATTATTATTATTAGTCAGAATAGGGATTTGAAGTATTTTAGAGTCAGGTTCATTGAATAAGCAACTGCTAATAGTGAATGAAAAAAATACTCACCCTCTCTGTAAGACTAGGATCTTTCTCTAGGAACTGTACCACACAATACGCCAACTGAAAAATGTCCACATCAAACCAGAAGATGTAAATATAAAAATACTGACAAAATTAGTAAACATATTAAATAAATCATGCTAAATAACAGTACTTAATAATTTGAGAAATACTAGCACTTAAATATCTTTTTTCAAAAATTATCATATCCAGCATCAATTTTCATCCATATCAATGACAACAAATTATCTTCTTTCATGAAACCCAATTTCATTGGTAGACCCTGGAGGCTAATCTAACTATAATCTCCTTACAATGGTCGCCAGCGATACTGGATGACAATATCAAATTGAGTTGAGATCAATTAAGGAAATTCTGCACAGTGTATATATTCAGTTTTTCAATTTTGTATGAGCGGTTTCTTCCATATTCACTTTCCTACGGTTGATAGCAAAGTCATAACACTGCTAGAAATGTTCCAAATAATATCAGAAGGAGAACCAAATGATTTGTTTACAATAAGCAGTTACACACGTGTTATTTGTTAATTTTGTCAATATTGATATTTACAGTGTTCACATGCGTAAAAAATGCAGGAATCATCCATGAGTTAATTTTAAACCCATTATTAAAAAAACAGATTAACACAGTGTTGACACAGGCTGATTTAGCTCAAAGTCAAATCAGCTGTTCTGAACTCCAAATTCCATAATCGTCTCTGCGATGAGACATGTGTGAATAAGTTATCAGGGTTAAAATGACGCCCTCTTGCAGCACCCCTGATAAGATAAAATATTTACAGAGAGATCAAGTCTTCTTTAACATCACATGATAACCTGACTATGAACTTTGGGCTATCTGGGCTACCTTTGTCACTAGCGAATTACAGTTAAATTCGGCTGCAACAAATGATGTCACTTTCACCACTTATTGCTATTAATTACAAAGAAACCAGGATCCAAGTTGTATCATGAACTGAAAATGTGTGTTAAGCAAAATACTGAGACTTTAATAATGAATTAATGAGGTAAATGTTTATGCATGTTGAATTACTGTAAATATTCCAATTTAGGCATAATTTTGGATTACTTTTAATCTTTTCAAATTTACGTTTTTTTCTTAGTGACTTATATCATGGAAGGTACTAACGTTAGTACCTTTCAATGCTTATATCTATTTCAATATGTGAATGGGTAAACATCATGGGTATCTTCCAAAAAAAATACTAAATTACTGAATCATAACAGTGGAAATAGTGACTGACATTCAGATACTAACCTGCGGATGATATACACTGAGTGACTTGACTTTATGCAGAGGTAGTAACACTCTCAACAAAAACACTTTATGTTCTTCTTTTAATGGCAATGCAAAACCATTTATTATACTGAGGGGAAAAAAAAAAAAAAAAACATATCAGACATGCAGGAATCAATTATCATGTCTATACCACTGTCAACATTACTATACGTTTGAAACCGGCATAAATTTAACTCCATCTTGTACTTTTATATTTTATTGAAATTAATAAAGAATCACAGCCAAGTTTAGAGGATAAGAACAGATTTATTCATTCATAAATCAAGTTATTAATATTATATCTTTACAACATGAACAAATTATCTAGACTGTACACAAAAGGGAGAATTCAATTGTTTTCCAATGAATAATCACAAGTCATTTATTCATACATTGATAATCCAATCTGTGTGTCATGGAGCATACACAATCAAGATCAAACTTAACTATAAATTACCTCGCTATAGAACAGCTGTTCAATAATGTGAATGATTGTAAGTTGATGTATACAGGATGTGAAAAGCTGTTTTACAAATTGTAAAACAGTACAAGTGTCAAATAAATCTGAGTACCATATTTTATCTATATTAGTATCATAAGCACTTGTATATAAATGACCATGTGCCTATTATTATGAATAAGTCAGCTTTCATTCAACTGTTGGTTTCAATATTTGATTTCAGTGACAGATTGACTACAATTTCCACTTGGAAGGAAGGGGGGGCATACTGTAAAACCTGTCGTTTTAGGTAGCATTTTATTTTTGCTAGTTAAAGATGTCGCTAATTTACAATAAAGTTTGTTCTTACAATGAGATTACTGTAAAATACGTTATTACTTGGAATCAATTTTCACTATTTTCGCAATAGGAATGATTCAGAGAAAATAAAATCCAGTGAATATGCCTTTTTTTTTTCTTATATTTTACATTCAACTCGTCAAAAATCAGTGAAAATAAATTCGATACAAAACACCAAAAATGTATTTTCAGCAAAAATTAATTCCAGCTAAAATAAAGTGTTTTACAGTATTGGTACTTTAAGCTAAATTAAGATTCTGTTAATTTATGCATCGAGTCAAATTGACTAAAAATGGCATGTAGCCATTTCAATGCGTTTTACAGAAATTTGTTACAGCCTTGACAGTTGAATGTTTAAAAATACAAATGACTGAAGTGTTGTCATATACACTTTATCAGAAAACAATTAATTGCTCTTACCTTCCTAAAATTTCAAGTAATTCCGCAACTCCATTATGATGCTCCGTTTCAAACACAAACCTACAACCAAAAAAATATAATGAAGGTAAATCTGTACCAGTAATGCTTTCCAATTCAAAATGCACAGTGCATAAATACATGCATTCCTGGGTACTATTAAATCGTCAGAACTTTCAAGCTTTGTATAAAAAAAAAACACGTTCATTTATAAAACTTACCTGTAAAATATATTATTGATTTGCTTTCTAATGTAGGCCCTGAGTCCTAAAAATTTACCATAAATTCTATGTAGTATAGTTTTGAGAAAATCTCGCTCCCTTGGATCCTCGCTGTCAAAAAGATCTAACAACTGTGCAAGACAAAAGGATACAGACAATATGTTAATGTACGCCTTCGTAGTTTAGCTACTTGCAATAAGTATAATTCAATTAAAAAAGGGTTCTAGTACTTTTACAGAAGTAAAAGATCAAGTTGGGTCTGATGTCATATACACGCACCATGCTGCAACTTACATTTGTATTACTATTCACATAGTGTCCTGCAGTTCCAATACTAAGAAATCTATAAGTCACTTTAATTTCGGAACAGACAAACTTTCGTGAGTCAGTGAAAATGGCAGAATATTGTAGCAGTAGTACTCACATACACTATCAATATTTAATCTAATTACTAACTTTGCAAATTGAATGGTTTGCAGAAATGTGCATTTTTATAAAAAATCTATTTCTGATTACTGAATAGTTTACCTGTAATACAAACTTCTGATCAATGTATTTTTTCGCTGTGTTCGGTTGGAAATCTGGCGACTCTAAAAATCTCAGAAAAAATTCATACACCAGCTGTAATGAAATGAAAAGTCATTATATGTAAAGACAGGTGAGAAAACAACTCGATTTAGCAATGTTGTGGAATCACACTGTCAAAATGTAAGGTTCCATACTCCCTGCATCATTCAAACACCATACTGATACTGTATATGCATAATTATTCACTAGTTTTTAATTCACCGTTTTTTACTAATAACAATCTGCTAAATTAAATTCTCCTGAACATGTAAAATAACAATAGAATTCATTGTTTTTCTGCCAAGTTTTTTAACTTAAACCCAATGAAATGGCTCAGAACATCAAAATAGTGAAATTAAATGCCAGGGAAAATAAATATTTTCAGTAATACAATGTGAAATTCTCAAACATGCAGTTTGAATGTTTTATTGGTGATCTGTTCACACATGTGGTAATTTACATAAACGATCCGCCTTATCAACAAGTTATTTCACATTTCTACTTGTGTCACAAGCATGCAGTTAAAAAGTAAACAGATCTATTTTATCCTAATAGAGATAACCTAGCATAATTACAAACACCTATGATACAGAATGCTTTTGAGCAATCTTCGCAATTTCAAGCTACCGCTACATGGTACTCAAAGAATACCGGGATGTTCCTGCATAGATCTGTACTACTGTACAGAAATCTGTATTAGAAATCATGGCTTCTATTAAAATGGTACAATGCAACAGCATCTACACACATGAGAAATGGTGAATTTTTGGTTCTCAAAAGAATGCATGCAACTTCTAATGCATATTTTTTTGGTACTGATCACATGGAGACACTCGATTAAATTCTCATTCATATATTTCACCTGAAGGTGTGGCCATGCTGCTTCTAGAGTAGGTTCATCTTCTTCTGGATCGAACTCAGCTCCATTCGGATTAGAAGAAGGTGGTAATGTACGGAACATATTGATTGCAAACTGCAACAAAGGAACGCACACATTTCAGAACAAAAACATGGCAAGCAGATCGTAGTGAGTGCTGATCAGTGGGTAACGTTTGTTATCACACATTCGCTTGCTGCTTGGCATAAATGTAAACATATGATGTCACAGTGCTACTGCCTATACTAGTAGGTTAAGAGGCATTGTGTTGAAAAAGTTAACACAAATTTTAGCATTTAAGAGCTAGATTCAAACGTTTCTGGTCATGCAACAAATCAGGACATTGCAATAGAATTCATTGTTGAATTATTCAAGACGCAATCAGAAATTCAAAAGTACACAGCTGAGAGCTTCGTCTATCTGGCACATGGTCAAGCAATTATCCAATCAAAGATGTGAATTTATGTATCAGGGCATTCAAGACAATTTTTTTTTATTCAATAATGATGTAAATTAAGATGTAAAATGAATGCTATGTGAAGTATCTTACCATATTTACGGCTTCTGGATAGATAGCATCCGTAACCACCCCCCTTTGATGCGTGATGTATTCAACCATTTCATTTAGTGCAGCTCTTTTCACTTCTTTCCATTTCAGATCACTCAATGGATCTGATATAAAGTCAAACAGAACACAGCACTGTCTTAACTTCTGGGTAAACAAATCTTCTCTTTCAGCAGGAGTGGCATCTGATTAAAGAAAAAATAAATATTTATATATATATATATAGTCTAGAATTAAGATATTTCTCTTAAGAGCGTAAATGTGTCTTGTTGCCTGTTATTTTTAAAAATAGATGCATCCATGCTACTGCCAGCAAAATCTGCTATGACGGTCTCTGTAAAGAACTTTGCATAATGGAGGAATATTATCCCAGGAGACATCGTGGTGATGACTTGAAGAAGTAGGGAGGGGAATATTATGTAGTGGTGATTTATCTTACAACAAGTCTTGTTAGTATTGGGGGCAGCAAGTTGGCAAAAGACTCACTAGTAATTTGCAAACAGATTTTGACTGAGCAGAAGCCCTACCAACATGTATAATCTCATTAAATATTGATTTTTTCAGAGATTACTAATAATTGGTAGTGACAGAATGAAGAGTAATATCAGTATTCCAAGTTATAGGTCATCTGCTCAAATCCAAACCAAATTTTTCAGGGAATTAGCAAACAAGTATGCTAATTTGCTGTCCTAATATACTTGAGTATGCTGTAAAATTAATTATGCAATCTTCACTGAAATGTAACTGAAATTAATGACAGCCATCTGAATGGAAAGTTACCCACAGATGAAATCCCATGCTCATGCAGGACAATGACACTTCAAACACCATGCCAGGGCTAGCCTGTGTGTGTGTGGCACACTCCCATCAGTGCAACAAGTGTATATGCATGTTATAGTGTAAATGCAAGTTTTTATAATACATGATAATTCCCAGTGTAAATTCAATAGTTAACAGTACATGATATAAACAAAATGTAACAAGATGGTAGATTTGGTGCGATCCTACAGCTACAGTGCATTAGTACAGGTTCATATGTGGACAGTTAAATAAAATAAGAAATGCATTAATTTTTATGGCACAAAACATCTGCTGTGTGCTCACCTTTCAAAAGTGGTAATTTCTGAAGCTCTCTGTTCTTGCTTATATTAAATTTGGATGAATTCTGTCTCCTTTCTTTCTTTATCAATGGTGCTTGCTGCCCGTATTTGATTTTGGTCAACTGCGTGGGCGGAGGAACGTTACCAACTTTATTTCGTCCAGACTGAAATATAACAGGCAAAAAATCTATCTATAAAATTTCCACATTTAAAAAAACACACACAACCATTTCATCAATATGATCATACTTTTTATGTTATGCTATTATACTCCAGCATAATTCAAGTTAAGAATTAAGAAGTTAAGAACACATGCCATAGTTGCCTGGATGCTCTAGCATCAATATGAAAGACTGCAATTTTTTGTAACTATATTTCCGAAATACACCCCAAAAGCCATGATTATTTGTAGCAATATTTCAACAATGAAACAGGATTTACAAAACTGTGAACTATGGCTTCTATCAACTAAGACAAGCTCTGCTCCCAGTATCTATCTCAATAGAAAGATACATTAACACTGTGTGGTATTGGGTTAAACTACAGTCAGTAACAGCATGGTCACTGAAAATCTTATTAAAATCCAATGTAAGTAGAAGCTCTGGTTGCTTTTAATATACAACAACTCATGAACATCATCTGTAAGTAAAAGTTACAGGAAATGTACATTAGTGATCATATATTAATAAGCAATTACTTACCGGGTACATCAGATCGAGTTAATGTATGGTTCAGCTTTCTAACTTTTTTTTTTTTCATGTCTGATCTGTAATTTTCTCTCATATTCATAATTCTTTTTAAGAATTATCATTCATTCAATGTCCCCAGGAATAACAAAATGTTTCAAAAGAAACCAACAGTTTTTCATATTCAAATCGACCATTTAGAAAATAATATCTAAAATTATTAAAGGTACAATTCTAGACATTTTAATTTCTTTACAAAGAATTTACGATAGTACTGCAGCAAAAACATTACATGAAAAGCACTCGCATAATAACCTTTAGCTTTATGGCAATATTACATCTGCAAGATGGCAAGAAACAGGTGCAGTTGTCCTGTCTCATCTAATACCCAGCGGAGGAATAATTCCTTTATTTGTGTACGTTATGAAACCATACCCTAAGAAATGAGTCTGAAATGAAGCTAGTTAGTCCATATTTTAAATTAATTTTCATTGTAGTTCATAAACACCGATAAAAATTGTAATGAATATATTATGTTGACATTTTACAAAATTCAAAATTCCAAGCCATACACTACGGGCAGTAACACTCATTAACTCCATTCTCCATTTAATTAGGAAGAACATAATGTTACAATTAACAGTTCATTAAGCACAGGCAAATTAATTGTTACTACATCATAACTAGAGATCCAAATAGCACAACACTAAAATCTACAGCAATTTATTAATATACACTTCTATTTTTATTCACGTCCACGATTACTCGTCCATAATGAGAATTCAATGCAAATACAGTATGAATACTTCAACCACGAACTAGGTCAAGCATACAATTCATTTATGTGAAGATTTTAACTTCACTTTGTCATATTAATATTTATCAAAGTTAATTATACATCATATATGAATATACATACATATATATTACAGAACTGGTTTAAGTGCGTATCATATCACGATTGTGTTTACCCATTGAGACCGGCATCAGGTCGTTGGAAAGTCAGGGAGCTTGTAGTAGAAGCAACACAGTACATAGCCTACTTGTCAAATGAATATATTTAACGCATTCTATGTGAATAACACTTACTAAATATATGGATATGGAAAATAAGGCCCCATAACGTAAATTAAGAAAGTCTCACACACGCCAAGATCCCTCTGCATGTGTAACAAAATGATCGATAATATCATAAGAACCAAGTGATCGCGATCCGCCATTATTTTCAAGGCAGCAAATATAACGTCGTTGCTCATGGACAACGTTTTGTGAAGTCCTACCTCGTCGGTTGTCTCCGATGACTCTTTATTCTTTTTTTCGCCACCCGTAGATTTTGCCGGGGTCTAGATGGGATAAGAATTTGGGGTGAGAAACGAATCCAATGCAAAGTAATTTCAGGGTTAATAAACATGACAAACGCCGCTTCTCAGTGCATAACGTTAGGGTTAGCTGATCGCGGCATGACAACACCAAAGCTCATTACTTCTAACAACGAGTCGAAAATACACATCCACCAGGCAAATATACAGCATTAAACAACGATATCTGGAGTGCCGTGTATAAGAATGAGATCACACCAAGCTTACCTTATCTTTCTTGGTTTTGTTGGGCATATTTCTATGACAAGACTGGTGTCGTTTCGTTTCCTACCCTTGTAATGTGACACTAGGCCAACATAAATCTATGCTCACTGATTGGTGTTAGAATGTCACATGATATATTTTCGCTCATGATAGCGCCCGCATGGAACACACTGAAAATAATGGGGGCGCTTTCAGCCCGCGTCCGACTGTCATGGGGACTATTAAAGGGGTGGACCATTAATAGCTGAAGTGGCGATTTTAGAACATTTGTGCAACTGTCTTGCTGACACCAATATTCTACTTTTATCTAATTAAAAGAAATATGTTTTCAATATGCACAGCAAGTTATATGCATTGGGGGTTACTGTGTTTTCCACGGAAGCGTAGATGAAGTCGGCAATCTGATTAAAATCGTGTCTCAATAAAAAAACAAAAACATTATAACGGCAAGTAACCCCCCCAAAAAAAACAGTCATAAATAAATAAAATATGAAAATAAAAATAAACCTATACCTGCATCGGATTTTAATCAGAATAATGAAGTCGGGAGACTGAGATTGTACGAAATTATGCACAAAACTTTAGAAGAAGAATTTTAATTAGAAGAAAGAAAACGTTTTTACTGAAAGTACAATCACATTAACGATGAATGTCAATGTTGCTGTTTTGTTTGTTTTCCTTAGTTTCGCTGTTTCCCAAATTTATTGTATTTTATCTAGATTTCATCAGATTTTCCAGTTGTAACTTTAAGTATTAATGCATATATCAAATCAATACACGATCAATGGAACTAAACAACTAGGAAGAAGTAAACTTTAGATAAATATGAACATATGTAGAACATTTTAGAGCGAAAGTATACTCGTGAATTCAGACGCAGATAGAGACTTCGCCAGGGTCTGACTGTCAGTCGTTGTTCAATGTTGTCATTTTAAGGATGTAGTTGAGGTTCAGTTTTTATTTGAGAATTCAAAATTTCCTCATTCTTTTACACGAACATATAAAGCATGCATTCAACTAGAAAAAAAAAACAATTGTAGCGATGGTTTGAGAGGGTAATACATTTTGAGTAATTCTGAGATACAGTGTGTTTTATGTTTTTTTTGTGATTTTTCACGCATAAAAAAAACACCGGTGTTTGGGGTTAGTCTAGAAAGTTGATCTCGACTCCCAGCTGCTCCACGACGGTGATTTTTGGCATAGGTATTCTCTGATAGCTGCTAATAAAATCTGGCAAAAATAATTTGTCTACCACTTTGAATTTAGAAAATACGACACAACTCTCCCTTTTGTGAACTCTGACACGGGGTGTCATATTTCAAAACAACGTTGACGATGTATTTAAAAAGCGTTATCAGTGTTATGAAATCAAAATCTGGGTCACGCAACAGTAGACGAAATGGGAAATTGAATTCAAACCTTTTATATTATCTCTAAGTACTGCGAACATAATTTCTGTGGCCTTATTTCGGTTTCTTCGAAAATAACACCTCTCTATTTGCACAGTGATCACGTGATTACACGGTTCATTTTTTGTTGGACTATTTATTTCATATTATTTTAAAAATAAGCTTTCTAAAAACATATAACTTGATGGGATTCAATGAAAATGTTACAGAGATGTGCTATGCAATTGCAATAACATCTACTACATCCTTTAACGAAAAGTTTTTACAAACCCATCTACTAATTCCAAAATGTGATTTTCTGACCCTGTGTTGCAAATGGTCAATAATTAATATCGAAATATGCAGCCAAAAAGTAGTTACAAATGTTTTAACATACTTCATATCGATAGCGTACTTGACCAATTTATTGATGTCATGAGTCCAAAAAATCTATTGTAAAGATAATACACCTCGTCTGCCTTCATTGTCCGAAATTCGACATGAAAAAAGGGAGGGATGAAAGCAATAGTAATGCATATCTTAGTGACATGAACAACTCAGATAACAAATGAACATTGATAAAGCTTAGACTTGTGTAATAAAATAAAGTCATGTAAAACACATTGGGACAGTCATTAACGTGCTTTGATTGAGTAATAACAGCCTTTCCGGTTGTCGAAATGTGTCGTACTGTTTTATCACGTGACCACACCAAATTAAGTGTGGCGTATACATAATGTTGTCAACGTTAACATCAAAACACGCAATATTGATAATCCAATATGTATTTTTCATTCATTGAGGATTTTATGGTGTGTTTTTTTTTTGTTTCTTTACAGGCTTTACGCTAAGCTTATCTTTATATACTGTATCCACGAAGATTGTGATACTATTCTATAATGTTATCTTGTCACATAGGCTAAGACATACTGAATAATTACATGGAAAATAATGCGAATACAGTGAAAACAAATAACCAATCAGAATATTGATTAAGTATGAACTCAAACTTGACATAGAATCAATCTAACGCACGTGCGATAACATATGATGTGTAGATTTAGATTAAAATACATGTAGTAATTATTTTATTGTATAGACATATTTGGCGAGATAGTCCGATTTCCAGCACCTCGGATTTCGTACGTCACGGTCAACCCCATTAATAATTTTCAAACAGCATTCATTTGTTCTCTAGACTATTTACTTTCGGGCCCGATGTTCATATATTTGTAATAATAAAATGGGATCACATAATTTTCGATTAATCTGTAAAATCATCGGGCAATATTAATTATAGTAAATTGTATATGAATGTTAGTATACTAACGTTATACGTAATATAACATGATAACTCTGAGATACAACATATGGATTTTTAGTATGTTGAATAAAAAGTGCGGTGACCCCAAAGTCATCGATATCCTTTCATTGACTCAGAGTACAGCATATCACAATTCGTAAAACAACATTCTAGGCATTTTACAGAGATCTACATTGACCCGGAAGCATTTACATGGAATTTATATAAAAGACAGTCACGATCTGTAAAATATCCATCTTGTACATATGTGAGTGAGGAAAGAGATAGTTACAAGGTGCGAATATTTGAAGAGTACGATTTTAGGGGAGGAGAATTGGGTGTGCAAAATTACTTTGAAATATTTAAATGAATATGAGGCGACCAGAAGAGTCATTTAATTTTTATATAAAGTTTTGGAAACGTAGCATGGAAATGAATATATAGCTAAAATATTTTTTAAAAAAAACTCTGAAAATAAAGGTTCTGCATACACGTGTACGTGAAAAAAAAATCCTCAAAAATGTCAAATGATTCAACCTTCTTCACTATAAGAGAAAATTGCGATCATAATTTACGTCATGGATTGAAATTTAGTTCAGTCAAGCTACTTTACCTAATCTCGTAATGAAGGCAGTGTTTTCACGTTGTTGCATAATTGTTTTTATTGGCCAATTTGTTTGTATTCTCCCACAGAATTAAATGTATAAATAACTTCTGTATACTACCTCGACAGTTCTGACCCGGAGAATGCCCTTCGAACCTGATGACGTCATGCTCCCAACTACGTCATCATCCTTGAGTGGTTGGTATTATTTTTTCTGTAATGTCTGCAGATAATACATTTACCAGACAGCAAAGTATTTTTCTAGAGTTTCAGCCGATATTTCTGGGCTTTTAAGGCTTCACCAATCATTATTATTGAAGATTGTACGGACTGATTATGTAATGTATAGTAACAGTTGTCGATATGTCTCAGGCGCTAGACATTTGATAGATGTATTAACGATTTTACTTTATTTTGTCGTTGCAGACGCAATTTCGGTTACTGTCTCTTTAGAACAGTATACATACAAACTTGAACTAATATTTTACATTATTATTTAGAAATGTTGCTATTGTAATACCAGTGTACGAAGAAAACTTGTCCAAGATCAAGAAGTTGGCCAATACATGAAATCCGAACACGTGCTGCGCGGAGACCACCGCCCTTTTAACTGTGTTTAATTTCGGATTCGGTGTTGCAAATATATTCATTATGTTTCAAATTGGGTTGTCAAGGAAACAATGCGCAGTTTGTGGTTAACTTTACATATTCACTGGCTTTAAATCTAGCACATTTAGTTGTCAAATAAATAATATCATATAGTACCGATATACAATGGAAAATACATTGAGCCGAATATATGCAACAACTGAAGATGTGATGCAGCGCGGCTAGTAGTAATCGGGAAATATACAAACAATACACGATGAACTGAGATATGAGACACGGTATCTTATCTCTCTTTTCGTTTGACATCGCGGGCAACAACAACAATGCGCTCTTTGCTATTAGTTAACAACCGTACCGGTGAGGGCGCAACTCATGCAGCTCCTTGAGGGTGGGGTGTATACTATGAAACACGTTGAAATATACACATGCCGTTTTAACGAATGTAACTCGATGCATGGATTAACAGAATCTTAATGTTTTCTGCCTTCGGCAAATCAAAGATGCGATTATTGGTGTATGTTTCGCCACTGCCTCTTATCATCCAGGGCAAGATATAATGGGTCTCAAGCAATTGAGACTCCTGTCTGCCCAACCATTCATTCCGGTGTTGTCGTTATCGCCCACACGAGATAGCGGAATAAACTGTGCATCTGGGGGTAGAGCATGTCAAAGTGCACACGTTTGCAATATTGAGATGCAATTTGTCATATACTATTTGTCACTTCAAAGTCGCACTTTTATGCTAAGACTGTAAAATGCCAATCATATATACGTAATCTTTTTACATGTAAGCTGTGTAAGCGTGCATAAACTGTTCTCATGCGTCGAGAAAGAATCTAACAGTATTCATGAATATACTCAATGGTGTTAAATTGGAATAGACTATCCATAGTGGGGGAAAGGGGTGAGCTGTGTATGAATATTTGGCAAAAGGGTAAGCAAGAATTGCATCTATAATTCTGATAATCCAGTTAAAAGTGGTCTAGAGCTCAAAACAACCATTCAAAATTCTGACGGAAACGGTTCATATCATAGACGACAAATTGTAAAACAGAAGAACCGTCGTCTATGTTGGACAAGCATTTTCGTAGAACTGTTTAGACGGGGTACATTCTCGTATTTGGAATATCTGGGTAGAGGTATACTTCTCAGGTACTGGACGCACATCAACGACGCACCCCAGTCGCTTCCCAAGGAGAGAACCTTCTTCCGAGTTAAACAACCCATTATTTCAAGTTCAAATCTAGGGCAATAAAAAGGGATTCAGGCTTACCAGTATTAACACACTTTAGCGATGTGTCAAAAATTGTGTATTACGAATATATATCGCAGCCATGGGAACTCAAACTCTCGCCTGGCAAGGCTGTACTTACATGGTAAAAGTACTGGATGATGTTACCCAAATCAACACACTAAAGTTCCTCAGATGTAGTTCAGCATCGATTACTAACCAGCAAAATGGCGCGGGACGCTAACTAAGTTACGAATGGTTGCAAGCCACAAAACTCATGGTAGATTTTGTACAGACTATATATTTATAAACTATATGCTTATAATATTATGCTCTATTTATTTTCAATACCACTAATCTCATTTTTTAGAAATTCTGAATTTCATTGTAATTAAATATGTTTTTTTTTTTCACATTTATGTTTTCGGTATGAATCAATATTCTTTTAATAACGTTGGGATACATTTAAAGACAAGAACTGAGATGTTGGTATGCTATGTGTCAGTACCCAGCGAAAAGGTACGGAAAATAAAAAAATGAACTGTACTGAGGTCAAAGGTTTTTTCAGTTTTTTTTTTTTTTATCACGTTGTATCACGTGATCAAATTTAAACCAATATGGCGGAACGTCGATAGAATGAGTGGCTGAATGAAGAGGTAAACTTACCGGGCCGCGAATCATCAGTCTGTTTTTCATCTTGACATTTACTGTAATTTATAGGTAAGCTATATTCTTCTCATTTCACAATTCATACTTACATGAAGATACAACACCATTCGATATGTGTATGTAGGGCACTAAGTTACCGTTGGTTCGATGTGAAGTGACCGTACCGTACACAGGCTGTGTCGGACGTCAGCCGATGATGTTTTAGCTTGAAGCTCGGTTCATGCAGTCATTTGAATATAATATTTGCATTAGTCTGTCGTATATTCTCAATGCAACATTCATTGTGTGACATTTATTTCTGATTTTCAAAAACATGATGAGTACACGGTTTAGTTACACGTGGCATACCTGTGTTCTGAAGTGACGTTTGCTTCTTTTTCAAATGACGTCTGCCCATGTAACGTTGTACTGGGTCAGTGGTAATTGTAAATAATAAAGTTCTGTTATGTAAATTGTAGACAGAACGTGTAACGTACAATCAATTTGAATTGTGAAAAGGGGAGGAAATGTCCTCAAAACTCGAGCTTAATTCCCATTCCCTTGTCATATTCTTGCACTAGATATCAACTTGTAATGCATGAATCATATACTGCGATGAGAGGATACTGTCATTTAAATGATTCGACGTTACCGGTATAAACAATAAGTCATATAAAATCAAGACATTTTAGATTTATTATACTTGATTACTCATCATTCATCCATAACATTTATTATGACTATATTATTGAATTATTATGTCATACACAACGCCTTATATAATAATAATTAATAGAGATGCCAACACTGTAAAAATAACAGAATTGGTTTTTACTCTCGTACACATGTGTGCGTGCATGTCAGGTCTTGGTACGCAAGGTAAACAGAGTTTTCTTGCATATACATATTCTTTTCAATGAACTTTTTAGTGTTAAACTTGTAACCAAATAACTCTTTTTTGAAAAGTTAGCAGTATGAAATTACGACCAGACAAATCGTTGGTGAAAACAAGTTTTTGAATACTGAAAGATTATACCTGGAGCTCAGTAGAAAAGTTAACTGACTACCGATATTGACACCATTTCTTTTTACATACAAGAATGATGCTCACTACGATGGGACTTGTATGCAAATAACGTTAGATTTTGTGCTGAATACTTGACTTGCTATGAAAATAGGTCAAAGATTAACGGTTATTTAGATAGTTTTCCTGGCAACAATATGGTAGTAAATTATTTACCTCGAGTCAGTATAAAAAAAAAATTACTTCTATTCAGACACGCGCAACAGAACTATTTTTATCATTGAGACTTGTATCACATGTCACCAATGGTCTACTTATGTTGTCAAACACAACCCATTTAGTATTATTTGCTGTTCGATCAAACAAAGTCTGGTGTTAGATGTATTTATTTGATAACCCTAAATCCACTATTGTGTTCTGGACATCCTACTCATGCTTGTTGAAATCAATCATTGTGTCCCTCAAGTGAGGAAATTTAAGGTACCACAGATTGTGGACCCATTTCAAAGTAAAAATTGTGTTTCAAAAACCAGGATGAAAATGTAGATGACAGGAAAATGAAATGAGAATCAATTAACTTTGCTATCAAATTGTGCACTGAAGCTGGCCAATAGGGGATTTTTAATTTCTGAGCGAGTGAGGTTATTTATCATATTTTTTACTATTTGTTTGTATACGTCTACCATGGATGTTAAGTTCTTGAGCTTAGAAATTCTATTCTATTCTATTCTATTCTATTCTATTCTATTCTATTCTATTCTATTCTATTCTATTCTATTTTTTTTGACCTGGTGTACAAGAAATGCTATTTTTGGTTTGAGTGCAATTGAAATATTAGACCAAAAAATATTCACGGATTTTAAGATTTTTGCTTTGTAAAAATACATGCAGTCATGGCTTACCATAATTATTGCTGAACAGATAATCACTCTATGATACATGTAATTATGACCTATGACACACTCATTTGTCCAATAATGCAAGATCACTTGAAATACTTTTTTGAGCACTAGAATTTTTCCCTTTAAAATTAAAAACATTTTGACATTTTGATAATTTTTGGAATTAACTTCCTATTGGCTACAACTCCTGTCAAGGTAATTTGCAAAAAACATCAACAAATTCTGAATTTTTTTGAAAAGTGACAAAAGTTGATTTTGGTGCTTCAAAAGGGTTAAAAAGATGTTAATAATTACTTTCAACATTGTCGAACTTTGAAGTTGTTGGCTATTCTCAGGGGCTGACATCTGGGCATTTTCATGGCCTGGCAACTATCACACTGAAAAGAAAGACTGAAAACTCAGATAACTGTACTTTGGGATAGTTGGGGTAGTCAGAACCATCATGTCTTCATGGGTTTGTGTGTTTGTTGTTTTATTTCCTCCAGCTGAAACTAACTAATTAACCCTTCTATACATATGTACAGGAAAGATGTCCGATAATAAAATAAACCTGGGACAACCAATTCAGATTGTACAAACTGATGCAGACAACCATACATTTCTGCTAGATGAAGAGGCTTTAGAAAGTGTTCTCCTGCAAGACCATGTGCGTAACAAAAAAGTTGTTGTTTTGTCAGTAGCCGGAGCTTTCCGTAAAGGAAAATCATTTCTTCTGGACTTTATCTTAAGATACCTTCATAGAGGGGTAAGTTAAGATCTTCTAATGGTATTGTTGACTTATGAGTTTAACTATGTTTGTAAACATAGGTTTTTAATAATGAAGGAGAATTCTACAAAAGTACTGAAAAAATTGTTCATTTTTACAGAGTTTAGTTTATACACGCTAGGCACTGAAGAGAAAATTTGGTATTGATTTTAGATTTTAGGTTTTCCTGTAATGACATTTTTGAGCATAGCAAATAAATGATTTTATTTGCGGCCATATGTAAATTTGAAATGATACCATATGCTGAGCTGTGTATTATTCTGAAAGGTACCTCAGCCTAATCCTATAAGCTAAATCAATGTCTATTTGCATACTGTCTAAAACTAAAGATAATGTGTTATCTAAATTAGCATATTTTCTCTATTAGATGTGCATCTGCAATAGATAATATAAACCAAAAAATTGTATTTGTTTTTACTGAATCATTAAAATATGATCCATTTTGTCTATCAAAACACCTCTGTAATGGTCATAAGGGCATGCACTTCTAATGGAACAAATACAGTATTTATTTATTTATTTGTTTATTTATTCATTCACTTATTTATTTATTTATTTATTTATTTATTTATTTATTTATTTATTTATTTATTTATTTATTTATTTATGCATTTATGCATTGATTTAGCTTTTTGTAAGGTGAATTTTAGTGGTCAACACAGGTGGATTTCTAAAAACCCATTAATATATTACCACTTATTTACGGGTATTTACAGGATCCTCAATAGATTTTCTTATCTGATCTACATTTAGTAAATACCCTCATGATTCAGAATTTCAAGCTAGTAATTTGTAATTAATTCTTGGTGAACATCGTTTTATTATTTGAATATTAATTAGCCACTATTTTGTTTTAGTTCAAGTGCATTGTTTATCTTTATTGCTGGATACATGTATGTATGCATCACGATATGCTGAGTGTATAGTGCAGCAGCTGGTTAGGATGATATTTCAGATGCTGGATGGTTATATCTATACCATGCATCTGTGTTAAAAAAGGACAACAGTAAACTCTTTTTATGCAAATTTTAAATAACATTTCTCTGGATTTATTCATACTGAAAATACAGTACAGCTTTGTATTTCCTAGCCATTACATGTATGGTAACTAAAACTGAACTGAACAACAATCAGTCGTGTTTTTTTGTTGTTTTTATGAAGAAATTGTTTGTGATATTTCTGGAAATCAGCAAATCTTGATTTGAAAATTACGAAATATTATACAGAAACAGTTGTTATAATGCTGCTCTTTGAAAGAGAAGATGTACTATGTAAACATGTCGTTTAGCAAGCATGTTATTTATGCTAATTCGGCTAATCTGTAGTTTTGCTAATTTAAGATGTGGCTTATTTAACGGACTAATAATTCTAATAATGAGATTGTTTGCTAAATTAACATTCTATTAATAATTCATGCATAACACTTTAACTACTTGGGCCTGCAAAATTTGATTGTTTGTTGCATGTTACAAGTTTTTTACATCTTTCTCTCAGCCTGACTGATTTAGGAGCAACATGCTGTAAAGAAATACTGTAAACAGCCCTATATATGCAAGGCAAATTTTCTTAGAAGTCAAGAAAATTTTGTAGCAGTGAAAAATATTTCCAGGGTCCGACGACAAAAAGTGTCGGTGGCTTTTGTGAAATTTTTCTTTGTAATGGCCAAAACGTCCTCAAATTGTGAAAATTTCCAGCAGTGAAAATGGTTTACACTGATTGACAGATTCTGTAAAAAAGAACTATTGTTATTAAATATTATGAGATGCGTATTATAATGAGTTTGAATACATGACAAGCCCTAAACAGTATTGGGTGGTGTCAAACATTTAAAGGTGAAAACAAAATGTTCTTGGTTTCAACTTATTTGAGTTGCATTGCAGGTAATGTTATCTTAGCTTTTTAGCCAAGATTTAGTCTAGTAAATGTAATGTAAAATACTTTATTTTAGCTGGAATTCATTTTCGCTGAATAGACTTTTGATGAGTTGAATGTAAAATATAGAAAAAAAAGATATATTTGTTGGAGCGAAAATAAAGTATTTTACAGTGGATATTTTCAGTCACAACTTGGGGTAGCTAGTCCTATGGGTCAATTGTTAAAATGGAATATATGCTGGCAGACATTGCTCAAGCTAGATCTATCATGCAAGTTTGTAATTTGTTGAGCTGTAACAACAACATAAAGAGTTGTCTGCTTTATTTTACATTCACAGTCACTTATACTTTATTCAGATTCAGAGGTTAAACTTTTGATTTGACCCAACAAAAAAATTCACTGTTTTCGTGGCTGCGCCAGTGAGAGAGAAACTGATTCTGCCAGTTGGAATGATTTTGCATGTACACCACCATTTTGCAACAATGTCTTGTTTGTTCAATATAGTAAAATGATAACTAATCATCCTGCCTGATGAAGATTTTTTGGGAAGGGCCTTAGATGCATGTATATTTATTTAAGTACTACTGTAAAATACTTTATTTTAGCTAGAATTAATTTTCACTGAAAAGACTTTTCGGGTGTTTGGTATGGAATTTATTTTCACTGATTTTTGACAAGTTGAATGTGGGGAAAAAAGGTAAATATAGGAAAAAGGTATATTTGCTGGAAAAATAGCAAAAATTAATTTCAAGTGAAAATAAAATATTTTACAGTATTGTAAGCACATTTTGTTTTGTGTTCAGGGACAGAATGGTAATGACTGGTTAGGAAATGACGATGAAATCCTAGCAGGCTTTCCATGGCGTGGAGGATCAGAAAGAGATACAACAGGCATCCTTATATGGAGTGAAGTTTTTGTATGTCCAGGACCAGATGGGCAAGAGGTAAATTGGTCTTTCTATCTTTTGCTTCACTTACATCTTGTATGGTTGTCTGCAATTCTGAAGCCCCATTTTTCTTGTAGCTGAAAAAAAGCATGTCTGCTTGACATTATCATTCGGATTTTGGCAAATGTCAATGCATTTATACAGCATCACCTTCTAAAACATTACCTTTGTACTTAGTGGTGGTTAGTTTGTTCACCTCTTGTCAGGATGTCATCAGTGGGCTCTATTCCCTCAGCCAAACTGGTTTGCACAATACCCCGGTAGTATAAATTTATAAGTTTATTTCTCCCTGATGACTAAACGAGCATTGTTAGGTTTGGAAACAGGTGGACAGAAACAGATGTTGTTCGTGTATGTACTTTCTGTCCCTCAGTGTGTATTAAAAAACTCAGGCATTCACTTCTAAATCAGTAAGAGATTTTTGCACGGTGATTCCAATAGTCAAATTTAATAGACTGTTTTAAAAGCTATGATGGACCAAATTTTGTTTGAATACTGTACCTTGATACATACATGTGAATTTGTTGTACTTTTTGTATCTGCATAAACTGGTAGTGTGCAATACTTCTATCTACATCAAGTACGTGCTAAGATTTAGATTAATCTAGTATGTTTGCACGTCAACTAGACCCAATTGTGTTAATGTGTGCGAGAAAACAGTGGTTAGCATAGGCTAAATAATGCCCAAACTTGTAAAGAATCTCCAGTTATTTTAACATTGATTACTCAGTGCAGTAACTTGGAAGGTGTACATGTTAGTTTTATGGTTAGAAAACAACTCCAAAGCAAATTCAGAAAGTGCAGACTGCAGGGTCTTGTCGTCACTTCACCTTTTTCTCCAGAACAGTGTCCTTAGATGTGCCCTTGTTGATTATCATGTTGGAAACGGCATACCGAAATAGTAAATGGTGTTTTGAACGCTTTTCCCAAGCTAATTGTTTGCACACACTTCGTTAACCCTTGCTAAAGATCTGGACTGGGTCTTAAAAAAAGTGTCAGATTTAACAAAATATTTATTACCCCGTGTTATGAGTTTGCACAAGTTTTTGACCTCTAAGCCCCATGCTTAGGAGCTGTGTGCGAACACTCGCATCTTGACGAGGGATTATCCATATTGTCAGTTTGTTTAGTGATTCAATTCAATGACTTGCATTTATTACATTGTACACAGGTTGCTGTTATTTTGATGGACACCCAGGGTGCCTTTGACAGTCAGTCTACTGTGAAAGACTGTGCAACTGTGTTTGCTTTAAGTACAATGACAAGTTCTGTCCAGGTAAGATGGTGAAATATAACAAATACTAGTAAATATTTTATTGATTTATGCAAATTATTATTTTACTGATTTATGCAAATTTGTGTGCAAAGGTGTTTTATGTTTGTCTGAAATTTCAAATGTGATCAGTCTAGGAATATCTGACATACCATACTTTCCCGATCATAAGCCCCCTTCCTGTATTTTTTAACGAGTTGAGAGCATCCCCGAGTATTGGCCCAGGGTGTTATTACCGGACGTTGATGACATTTATTAAAATATGCATGTAAAAAGTGTATTTCATTGCATAAAAATCGTGATTGGTACGGTAGTTTGGTTCCTGCTTTTACAAAGACGTACAGAAACGTACATTATCTTTTATCAACCCGCCAAGCAATAATGATGTTCATGGTGTCTGACCGGCCTGACCCGACCCATATGCAATATCATATTTGCTCAACTAAAAACACATCTCCAATAGAAGAGCACATAAACCAAAAATTACACTTATTACATGCTAGATCATTAAAATAAGACTTATTTTGAACATAGATACATCTATCTTTTACGTAAGCATACAATAATCGTAATAATAATAATAATAATATGAGGTTATTACAAGAATACCTCAAAGTATGCACGAAGACTGTACAGCTGGAGTATCGACCGACGCGCAGCGTACTGTCTGAGTGCATACTTTGAGGTTTCTCGTAATAACCTTATTATTATACATCTTTTCCTTCCGAGGGTACACCATGGGAATGTCGAAATCCAAAATGTTTAGAACAGAATCAGCTAACTTCTGTGTTGAATCCGGTCAAACTCTGGTGGCAGCCATGTTTGTTTTTATTATTAGAGGATGTTTATGCGCGTAATCATTCCATATTTGGAATTCGCATTTCCTAATATGGTAGGATGAAATCCCCCCCCCCAAAAAAATACCACAAAATTACAGCAAGCTGTAACTTATGCTGTTACGGTGACAGATGTATAATAATAATAATATTTATTGCATCTTTAGAAATACAGTATTTCTATCAGTACAGTAGCTATAAAAGTATAACATAGAATAATAATGCTTTTAATAGTGCAACAATGGTATACAAGAATGGCACTTTGAGATCATATAGTGGAGAACTGTTAAAAATGAATAACTTTTTTGATGAAATACAGTCGGCTTACTCTTGAAGGTCATGCTGACCCCTGAAAGGAATAATATACAAGAATGTTTATATGTCAACAAGGTGTCTTTACAATAACATTGTCCTGATCTCTTCTGTAGGTGTATAATCTGAGTCAAAACATACAAGAGGATGACCTGCAACATTTGCAACTCTTTACAGAATATGGAAGATTGGCTATGGAAAGCAACGATGCCAAACCATTCCAAGTATGTGTTCAGAGTTGTTGTGCTAAGATTTATGACCCTTTTGAGTGACAAAGTCCACTTTTATCACAATTTAAAAAAAACACACACATATTTTCCACATTTTTATCATAATTTTGATAAATACCTGTAGCCTATAGGAAATTATGTGCATTTTCTCCAAAATTATAAAAAATAAAAATGATAGCAAATTACATACAAAATATTAAACCAAAGTCTGAATAAAAAAAATGGTGGCTCAAAAGGTTAATGTTATAAGAGAAAAGAAGTTTCCATGCAAACTTCTGACTAGATCTTTGTTTGAAGCTGAAACGCATCTACAGCTCAGGTGTTTCTCTAAATTCTGGAGTAAGCGACTAGATTTAGAAAGCTAGAGCCTTGAATGTGACTCTTTTCGTTGTGTAAAAACAAAAGTAGTCACCTGAACAAGTAGACAGCTATTTAGCCAGCGTCTGCCTCTAACCAAACCAGACAGCTGTTGCTTCAACCAGGATACCATCAATGTATCAAGGCCTGGATATGCTATCCCAGGGTAATTAAATAGATCGCTTTAGAATACAGAGGCAGTATCCATGGTAACAATGCGGTCATCATTTGTGCTAATATTGAAAAAAAACAAACATGTGATGTCAATTCATGTTGTCCTTTACATAGATGTGAACTTGTATTCTAGATTGCATTAATAAAAATAAGCTTTCAATTTGATGTACAGGTCAGGAGGTAAGAGCCTAAGATATGGATTGACTTCTGAATCACTGGGTCAAAATAAAAATAAGTCAAAATTCACATTGTTTCTTACTTTTAAAACAGTACTTCTTAGATAGCTGCTGCGTCTGTTTCTTTCAGTTCTTCTGAAATGGGAAGTGTTTGAGGGCACTCAACTTATGAAAGGGGTCTATAGTTATAATACATGTACACTTAAAACGCTGACCTCATTGGTGTTATCTGATTAGAACACAGACTTTGTGTGTTCAATTGATTAAATTTCATGACTAATTTCCAATGCATTCAAAATTACAGATCAATTTGTTTAACATTGTTTACATACTTGTATATATACTTTTTTGCGAAGCACACAATGGGAGTCTTTGCAGGTCTCATGCCACTAATTAACCAATGGCTGCTCGTAGCCCAATTTAAATTTAAATGCCTAGCAAGAACCAATGAAATTTTTTAAATATTATTTTTCTCAGGTGCTCCCTGTTTGAGGGCGTAATCACCTGGGTCAGAGGTGAGACCAACATGTGGTCTTTTGTTTACTACTTAGCGGCTGTGTACCTGTGGGTTTATTCTGTGTGTTAATGGATGTTCTAATCTTGGTGTTTTTCCATTGATTTCTCTTGGTGCAATCCAAATACAGTAGGTGTGTCTTGTTTACCTGAGATTTGCAAGAGTTTGAGCTGGCCATCATGTTAGTTTTTTTCATATGGTTGATTACTGGCATGTTGATTTCCCATTTTTGAGCCATATTTTCAACTTTCTTCGTCATTTTCATATAGCAATCTCGTCATATGTTACTATTGTCGTCTATGGAAATTCAATTAGTGGTATGAGCCCTGCAGTTACCCTGTGTGTATGTGAGTATGTGTGTGTGTGTGTGTCTGTTCCACTGATATCTCAAGAACCATACATCAGCTTTTGATGAAACTTGCTGCATAGATGCTCTGGGCCAATGCGCAGATTTGATTAGGTTTTGGTAGAAATCCATGCATATTAATTACTTAATTTGCATGATAATTAGCTCATTTCTCGCTGTTCCATGAGTATTCCACTGATATCTAAAGAACCACTCATTCATAGATGTTCTGAACTAATGCCAGGTTTTGATTAGTTTTGGGTGAAAATCTGTGCATGCTAATTACCTAATTTGTATAATGATTAGTAAATGTTTGGCTTTTCCACTTGTATCTTTTGGGATAAATATTTGTGCATATCAATTAATTACCTCATTTGTATAATTAATTAATTATCAGAATTTTCATGTATATCTCAAGTACTAATCAACACATTTCAATGAAACTTGGTATATAGATCCTCTAAGACTATGCAGAGAGCCAATTAGTTGTTGGTATATATTAATGCTTATTAATTACCTAATTTGCATAATTAATACATTTTTAACTTTCACACTGATATCTCAAGTACTAATCATCACATTTCAATGAAACTTTGTACATAGATGCTCTAGGACAATCTACAAATATGATCAATTTTGGGTTAAAATGTGTTCATATAAATTTCCTAATTAGCATAAATAATTCATAGTTGTTTGGTTCTGATCACATTTCAATGAAACTTGGTACATAGATGGTTTGTTACATACGCAGACCTTATTAGTTTTACACTCTGTTCAATTTAATTTTCTGATTTGCATAATTTTAATTTTCTTGACAAAAATTGCATAATTAATTATTTTATCCCTTCATATTTTAGTTATCTGTTCGTCAAATTTGGCTGAAGGGAGTCTTTTTTTTATGGAGAATGGGTTGACAAATCATACTCATAGTGTCAGTGAAACATTTTGAATTTATCATTGTACATATCACTGGCTGAATATGGTGATCACTTTGCCTGATGTTGCACAATGTCTCGCTTGGTCCTATTCGGGTTGTAATATTTTTATTTTATAGTGTACTGATTTACATTTATTTCTTCTTTATTTATCAGTCGCTGTTGTTTCTTGTACGAGATTGGAGTTACCCGTATGAAGCACCATACGGCTTTGCGGGTGGAAATGCTGCACTTGATAAAAGACTCAAGGTTGGTATATTATAGTCTCATTTATGTTACAACTTGTTTATCAACAAAATAAGTGATTAATTATATTTTTTATAGTATTTGACAATGAAAAGTATAGTATCCATTCCATCGTCTATTGTTATTTGTTAAATTGTCAAAATGCATTATCTATTA